GTGGCAGACATCAAAACCCAGATACCACGTGATTCATATTTCATCGGGGTAACACATAGCAACAGACATTCAGCAGACCTCAGAACCCAGTTTGGCACATAGGGGCTGATCAAGTCAGATGTTGGGGCGAAGCCATTCACAATCTTAAAGATAAAAGCCAGGATTTTTAACTTGATACGGAAGTTTACTAGTAACCAGTGGAGGTGAGCCAGGACAGGAGTGATGTGAATACGCTTGCTAGCATTGGCCAAGAACCTAGCTGCAGCATTCTGTAATCTATTTAAAACTGAGGGAGGGACATCAGAGGATAGAATTAGCATGATCCAAGCGAGAGGTTATAAAATCATGGATAACAGATTCAAAGTGTGGCCTCTTGATTGGTTTTAGATTAACTAAACGGCGCAGTTGGAAAAGCAAGATTTAACCACAGCATTGATGTGGGGAACCATTGAGAGTCCTGCATCCAGTTTGACCCCAATGGCTGGTCACACACTGTTTAGGGTTGAACGTGAAAACAGAAAAGACAGCAAAGGATTGACAGTGACTATGTGGCTCCATGAGAATTTCTTCCAACTTAAGCTCATTGCGTTTCAGGAAGTTATCAGCTGGCCAACCCTTTACCTCAGCTAAGCAGTTGTCAAGGAGTGAGAGGGCATTCGAGTCAATCATGGCCAGGTAAATCTGATAGTCGTTCGCATATATATGGTAACCAAGATCATTTTTCTCCAGGATTTCACCTGAGGGAATTGTATAGCTTGATAAAGAAGAGACCAAAGAACAGATCCCTGTGGCACTCCCCAGTGGAGGGGGAGACATGGAGAACAGCAGTGAATCATCTGGATCGGTTAAGTATGAGCGGAACGTCTCCGGAGCTGTGCCGCTGATACTCACCCACGAGACAAGCCTATCCAACAAAATAAGATGGTCGACAGTGTCAAAGGCAGCAGAGAGGTTTAATAGAAGGAGCAGAACTACTGACCGAGAATCAGAAGCCACCAGGATATCATTCATCACACGTAATACAGCAGATTCAGTGCTGTGGAGTGGCCTAAAGCCAGGGTGAAGCAGTTCAAATAGAGTATTACTTTCAAAATGAGCTGAGATTTGTGTATGGACAATCTTCTCAAGGACCTTAGATAAGAAAGGTATAGAGATGGGGCAGAAATGTGCATAATTGGAATGACCTAGTCCAGGCTTTTTAAAAATCTGCTGCACAACTCCTTTTTTAACCCTCAAGATGCAGGCGTTGCAGATTTGCAACGTTAAACCTACCTACCTGGTTACTCCACATACGTATTTCATGAGTGTTGTTTAACTCAGAAGTACCCCTGAAGGTCTTAGTTGTTCGTCCTTTTATCAAAACTTATTTTGAGCCTGAGAGGGTTAAACAACGGAAACAGTCATGTGGCTAGGCAGGAGTTGAAACTGTCTAAAATGACAGGATTGACGGTAGAGAAGACATCATGCAGCCACTTTGGGGGAAGGGAGTCATCAAGAAAGCCTGTTGGTTCTGTAGAACTAATCAGACTCTCCAGATCCCACAGACCCCCAACAAAACAACAAAATACATTCTCAGTGGCCTAGTGGTAGAGTGTCTGCTCTGGGGCTGGGAGAGCTGAGTTTAAATTCCAGTCGGGTCATACCAAAGACTTTAAAAATGGGATCCAGTGCCTCCCTACTTGATACTTATCTTTAAGGGGTTGGATTGGGGGGTTAAACCACCAAATAGTTCTCAAGCGTGGCCACAGCTGAAGGGGATGGGTCAAATACAGAGATAAGTTTCACCAGTGTGTGATGACTAATAGGACCTTTAACTTTACTTCTTTACAATAAAAGAAAGTGTAGATACTCGACCTATCTTCATTTAAACCCATGCTGTCACATGTTTACTGTATGCACTCATCAGTGTAGATACTTTATGGAGAAGATGCAGAAATGGTTACGGGGATATATACGGTGCCAAAATCAGTAAATAAGAATAGGCCACAGGAGATTATTTATGAATATAGAGACTTATGGACTACAAGGTAGAGCAAAGTCCTGCAGTTACTTAAAAGACAGACAACAGTGTAAAAACGGTGGCATTCCACAAGGGTCAGTAATAGGAAAAGTCTATTTATTATATATATATATATATATATATATATATATATATATATATAGAGAGAGAGAGAGAGAGAGAGAGAGAGAGAGATGTGCGCATATAGATTACATTTGTAACACTGCTGACTTTTTATAATGTATAATTTTTGCAGCCAATAAAAATTTAGTTTGTTCAGCTAAAAATCTAAAAGAACTTTTAAAGAAGGCCATAAAAGATTTGAATGTCCTCAAATCTTGATTTGGCATGAATACATTATCACTGAATATAAAGAAAACAAAATTCATGATATTTGGAAATAAAAATGTAAAAAATGGAGAATTTAAATAAAATTTCAAATACTGAAATTGAAAGAGTAAATGAAACAAAATTTCTTGGGATTGTGATTGATTCCAGTTTATCTTGGGAACAGCATTTAAACTATGTTAAAGGAAACATCACAAAATCAGTGAGACTACTTTATAAAGTGAAAGATTTATTAAACTCCAAGCTTCATGTTTACTGCTCACTAAATAAACCTTACATGTCATTGTGTATCAACCTTTAAACTATTCATGAAAGAAATGAAGCTACAAAAATAAAAAGCTATTAAAGTTACAAACAAGAGTACTTATTATGCTCATACTGATCTTTTGTTTTTTAAATCTCAAATTGTAAAATTAGAGGATCTGTATTAATAAATTATGCAAATTATGTCTAGAGCAAAATAAATGTCTTTCCCTGAGAAAGTACAGATGCTTTTTGTAAGAAGGGAGAGTAAATATGGTTTGCAAAGTGTCTGTATGTTTGTTGCACAAAAAAGCTAAGAAAGGTATTAAAAGGAGATGTATCTGTGACGGGAGTAAGATTTTGGAATGAGGCTAGAATTCAAAACAGCAACCACACTTTCAGTTGTTCTAATATTTCTGAGTAAAAGTACTTTTGAAGGGAATTTATTTGACATTAGTGGATATGTTTGTGTTTATGATTTTTGTTATAGCCACATTGAGGGAATTAAACAATTTCTAAGTAAGTAGGTTAGGCAATACTATAAGCATTTGCCTCTGCCTAAATGTGTTCAGTCATGAAATGTTCAAAAGAGCGTGTGTCAGTGTGTGGATGGTGTAGATACTTGTGCAAGTATATGAATGTACGTGTTTGTGAGGTAGGGGAGTGTGTATCTACATGTGTGTTATGCTGTTTTTGCATGCACAAATTACTTTGATGACTAAATACAATTTTAAAAGACAGTTTTTGTGACATGTTGCTACATAAATAAACAGGGTTTTAGATTTGGTGTTAAAGTGTGGAGTTTTCACAATTATTTATTTATTTATTTTATTTTATTTTTTACAGTAAATCAGAGTCCAGGAGTTCTGCTTTAGGTGTGTGTTGCTGTTTTTAAATCATTCTGTGAGTTTGCTTGTCTCATTGTTATTACTTAGCTCTTCATTGCACCAAGTACTTCATGTCCCAAAAGAAATCATCACATCCAATAGTCTCTTTGACTTTCATTGTTTTGTTTTTTTCTTCCTGATCCTCACATTCAGACGCTGGTGGTGATGAGCTACAATGTATAGCCACAGCTGCCCTGGAGCACACTGACAGGTCTGTCTGACCACAGATTTGTAACAGCTTGCAGGTGTCTTGCCCAAGGACACAACAGCAGAACCTGCAACCTTCCGATTACACTGTAATAAAAGCAACGTATGTTTTTTGAGATGAAAAGGTATTTTAAGTTGTTTAAACTTAAAATCCATGTTTCACGAATTAAGTGCAATAAATTAAGTCAGCCCGACAAACAGAATTAGTTGTGGGCTTCAACAATATTAAGTGAGTCGTATGAACTTACATATCTAAGTTGGACTTCATAATATCTTGCCCAAGTTCTGCTAACGTCCATGCTTTTGTTGTGAAATGCGGGAAAGTCAACTTTTGGAGTTGGAGGAGTCAGTCTCATTCTGCGTGTGGTCGGAGGCAAAGGAGGCTGCATAGGTAAGTTTTCCCCTTTTTCCTGGGTTCAAATTATGTTAAAAATAAATTATGAATATGTTTTGTGCTATATAAAGGTAGCCTACATTCATAAACAACTTTTACATGTGATTTTTTAAGGTAAGGCTGTCGACGGTTGAGATTTATGCTATAGGCTATATTCTGCAACTAGTCTATACTTAAAAAACATGGACCTCTGTAACTAACTGTTTCATTTCGTACTTGTTTATAGTTTGAAATGATATCTGCTTTACCACTAATAATATTTCAATTTCTTTTGATAAACAAGCTAAATATTGAGAGAATAATTGCTAACTCACATTGCTAATGGCTAATGTAGCAACAGCAGCTAGCAAATAGTGTTGAATGTGCGTTGACTTAAAAACTACAAAATTATGCTTTAATACACTTTACACCCATAGACGGTGGAGCAGATTTAGCACCGGGACGGAGCAGTGGGACTGCGGGGCAGACAACACGGAGGAGCGGGACGGAGGAGCAAACACCGATAGACGGCGGAGGAAATACACAGAGCAACGGGACGTAGAAGCAGGACGTGGAGGAGCCAGCCCAAACACTGGCAAACAGTGCACCAACGCAGAGCTGTGGGTCCAAACCAAGCCCCCACAATGCCGCTCAGAAAATGGTCCCAACCCGGAAGTAAGAAAAACTGCAGTTCCACCCTCATCCGCTGGGGGCTGGTACCAGAAGCGAGCAAATCCTCATTGACTCCCATGTTAAAAATGCCATTTTCACAGCAGAAATAAACATGTTTACAGCCTGGTTCAAAAAATGGTTTTTTGTCTAAATTATCTAGTTTATACTCATGACAACTCTGAGGGGGGTGAATGTTTTTCTCACTCTTCTGTTTAAGTGTATTGAAAGCCTAAAATTCTGTATAATTAATGAGCATCCGACACACGTGACCGCCGCCTCTGACCCACGTGACCACAGAGCTAGCTCCGTGGAAAGGCCTCAGTACAGCCTCGGTCTCTCCTGGAAACTGTGTCGGGATTTTGAGTCTCTGTGCTTGTGAATTCTGTTTTGGATAATATTGGTGCAATTGTTGGACAAAATGACTTGCTGTGGTATTAATTGCACTAATAGAGCGTCCAAGGAGTCTCCACTTCATTTTTTTCGGTAAGTTAAAATCTATATTTGTATTTTATGTCACTGCTGCCTTTAAACTAGCTGAGTTTACCGAAGTAGCTAGCTAACTATCAGTTTAACATGTAGCATGTACTGTTTAACCATGAAATTTAAATGTAAAATACGGTAAAATAATTAATAGGGCATATTTAAATGGGTAATAGGGTAAAACCCAGTGCATTTAAGATAAAAATGGGTTGAAATATGACGGGGCGCGCCGCTTGGGGGGACACTTCTGTGCTCTATTCTTTCATCCGGTAATCCCCAGCGGTCAGGCCGGGCAGGCTGACCGATGCGGCGCCTCGCTGCTGCGGGCTGACCGCTCGTGGAACTCGGAGACAGATCTGACCGGAAAAATACTGCAGCTCGTTGAGAAGTCTATAGGGCATACAGCGTTTCCCTTAAATCCCACTGCCACGCCGACAAGATCCCAAGTTTCTTTGTTTTTGTTGGCGCTGTTTACCGAAGAAGCAGCGGGAATACCAGCAACTTTCATCAGACTCCTAAAGTTAGTTTTTGCAGGGGACCCCCTGTATTTTACTGCTCCCTCCTGCAGTCTTCCCCTATTAAAATTTAAAATGTGTAACTTCATGTATTGTGATGAATGACTAATATTCATGTTAACTAAAACGTTAGGTATTTAGGGGGAAAAAACAAAATAATAAACATTATACAGATGTCAAATAAATCAAACTGTAATTAAACTATATATTTTCAAAGTCTTGATTCTGGATAAAATCCAACAACATATGCTTTATAAATAAACACTACACATGGCTTTTACACACACACACACACACACACACACACACACGTTACATTGTGATTTCTTAGTAAATATTCTATTTGGCGAGAGATAAACTTTATTGTATTTATCCTAGTGAATCTATAATTAAACGGGTAAACTAGCAGTAGTACATCCAACATCAAAGAAAGTAAAATGTTATTATCAGGAGAGGGAGAATGTTTAAGTGGTTAGCAGCAGTGTGCTAGACGATGGGCCCCCTCCATGAGGCCACCACAGCTCAGCAGAACATCGTTGTAGCTTCTTCTGAGGAGAAAAACACTTACAGAAAAAATAAAGTTAACAGCTGAAATAGCAGGAAATAATACAGTTAAAGAGCAGATTGTAGAAGAAAGAAACCCCTAGGTTAAACTGGTCTGTCTACTGCATAATGCTGAACTCTAACATGTGTCCTCAGGGAAGGACCTGATTGGTGTCCAGAACCTGCTGAAGAAGCACCAGGCTCTGCAGGCTGAGATCACAGGTCATGAACCTCGCATCAAGGCTGTCACCCAGAAAGGAGAGACCATAATGGAGGAAGGTAGAGCAGGTCTGGTCCTGACATGTTTCTGAGGTGTCTGCAGGTTCTGGCTCACTTTGTTTGGGTCCAGGTCACTTCGCTGGTTCAGAACCCTCGGCCCGTCAGAACATTCTTATCCACCACGTTCTAACACCAGACCTGTTAACCCGACAGCAACAAGTGGCTCCAACTGACGATGAGACCGGGAAGGAGCTGGTTCTGGCTCTGTACGACTACCAGGAGAAGAGTCCTGGAGAGGTCACCATGAAGAAGGGCGACATCCTCACGCTGCTCAACAGCACCAACAAGGTTCGTGTGCCCTTCACAGCCGAGGAACGACCTCCAGCTCAGAGCGAACATCTCACACCTGCTTTGTGTTTGTGTGACTTTAAGTTGTTTTACTTGAACTCGCGTCTTTAGCTGAATGAGGATGGAGAGACGGGTCGGACCTGGAGCAGGTCGAGGTCTTGCAGAAGAAGTTTGCCGACTTCCAGAAGGTCGGACTTTTCCTCCTCTCCGTCTTCCAGCAGCAGCTGTCAGATCAGCTCAGGTGATAATCAGCAGGTGCTTTTGTCCTGCAGGACCTGAAGGCCAACGAGTCCCGCCTGAGGGACATCAACAAGGTGGCATGTGAACTGGAGTCAGAAGGTCTGATGGCTGAGGAGGCTCCTATGGTTCAGGCTCAGGTGAGCGTCACCTGTCTGCAGCAGCTGGTCCCTCTCACTTCCTGGTTTGTTAACTCTGCTCGTCTCTGTTTGTAGCAACAAGAACATCTGGGTTCTGCTCCTGGAAAGGTGCGTGTTGTCCTCCGCCTCCACCAGAACCAGACGTGGTGTTTTTGTTACCACTCATTTGTTTGTTTACAGGATGAAGCCGACTCTAACCCCGGCTTTCCACAGGAGTCGTCAGCAGCACGTTACTGCAGCAGCACGTCATAGCTGCTGATAGGAACCGCTGTGGTCAACAGAACCTTTTCCACCGGAGCCGTCAGCAGCGCGAGTCGGCCACGTCTCAGGAGCAGCATGTCGCGGCCTTTACGCGCCGGTTTTATTTTCTACGCGCGACGCCTCTGAAACGGGTCAAGTTCGACATTTTTGGGGAAGGAAAGACAGGAAATCGGACGCGGAAATTGAGAGAAGCTACCGAGATTTTCAGAATAAAGAACGTACTGCCTTCCGGTTGCTTTACTTTTAAAAAAGGTTACTAACTGAGCGGTCCCGTGAGAAGTTATCACCTAGCTAGCGGTCTCCTTTGTTTTTCAGGTCCGTATTGGCGATTATAAAACGGACAGAACATAAAACACAAACCATGTTGTAATTTTCTCCTGCTTGTTGTTGTGTTTACTGATGAAGTCACTCGTGTGACTTCGTGCTCGGTCGGTGACAGCTGCTCCCCTGCTGCTTCGCGTCTCGTGGGAAGGGCCAAGCAGCAGCTTACGCGAGCAAGACGTGCTGCTGCAGTAACGTGCTGCTGACGGCTCCCGTGGAAACCCGGGGTAACACGGCGTCACCCTAGAAGGTGAGTTCATTCAGCTGATCAGAGGTCACCTCTGATGGCCGCAGTCACGGCCGACCGTGCTGAAATCACACAGGAATTCAGGTGACCCGGCAGGCACCAGGTGCTGGTGAAAGTGGGGACATGTCAGCTGGTTGCCATGGCTACAGTTATCTTTATGCATCTGTATGACTGCTGACTGGTGTGTGTTTCCTGTGACCTTTGACCTCAGACCGTACGGTTGGGCGTTCAGACGACGGCTAACTTTAATTCCATCAAGGTAAGAGGAAGCTCTTCCCTTCCTGTCTGAGCGATCCGTCTCCAGGTTTCCTCGTCCGGCGTCCAGCCCGCTGGCGTCCACCTTCATCTCACTGGGTTTGGTTTCTCTCCAGGAGCTGAACAACCGCTGGCGCTCGCTGCAACATGCTGGGCAGCGCCCATGAGGTGTAGCGCTTCCACAGGTACCCCGCACACTTATGCGCCGCTTACGGGTCAGTAGAGTTTGGACCCACACTCAGACGGAGTTCTGATGTCTTCTCAGAGACGCTGATGATACCAAAGAGTGGATCGAGGAGAAGAACCAGGCCCTGAACACAGACAACTACGGCCACCACCTGGCCAGCGTTCAGGCTCTGCAGCGTGAACATGAAGGCTTTGAGCGTGACCTGGCAGCTCTGGGTGATAAGGTCCGCTTTCCTGATCGGTACCAGGACCCGAGTTGTCTCTGGAGACACGTTCTTCATGGTTCTGGTGACTCCACCCCAGCCGTTCCTGATCAGCGATCAGCGGGGTGCTTTCCTATTTAAGGTGGATGGAGGACAAAATTTGACGCCAGAAGATTGCCTCAGTTTTGGTAGTAACCAGCCACTCGTGTTACCTCTAGTGTTCCTAGGATTAATGTTATTTCGTAGTGTTTTTGCTCTTATATTGGATTTACCATTCTTCAGGATTCCTGTCGACCTCATTGGATACTGACCTCTACTCCAGGATTTGGATATTCAACACACGGACCTTATCACCACCCTCCATAACCCACCTCTCATCTCACCCAGTGCCCCATCCACCAGGACGCCCCGCTTCTCTCCACCTCTGCTCCCTCTCCTGCATTTCCCCCGGCTCTCTACCTCTCCCTCCTCCAGCCAACACATACACCCACCACAGTAAGTCTGCTGAACACCTCTGCCTGCCTACAATGGATTTTGAAACCAGAACCTAAGCTCACCTGTGTTCTCCCTCCTCCAGATGCTGAGCTGTTGTTGCAGTTCCAACCACAGACTTATCTGTGCACCTTAAGTTCCTCCTTATAAATCATTTTTTCCATCAGTTTTTGGTCAGTGTTGTATTCTGCATGTCTTGGGTTAAGTACCTTCCTCCAAACATGACACTCCTCCTCAAAGAGCAAATCTGTTCAGCACATTCTGACAGACAGACCACCATTCTTCTGTCATGATGCTGTACAGGACATTTTTAGAGTTTTTCTTTTTAAAGATAAATAGGATTACATTTAAATAGCAATACTTTCACATTATCATTTTCCCACACTTCTGTCTAACTGTATTTTGTTGTTTTTCAATAAAGAATTACAAATTATTTAAGTTTGGATTTGTTGCACACAAATATATATCTGTAAAAAATATCTTCAAAGCTAATGTATACATAACAAGTATGATTGGGTTTTGCAATACGGCACCATTTTAGTAAGATTTTTAAACCAAGTAAAGTTAGTAAAGAACACATTTCTATTGTCTGCTAAGAAACTGTTGGGATTTAAAATGGGCCTGTTGTACAAATAACTTGTAAATGATTATTCCTCACTTTTGTCTTAACCAAAGAAATTCCAGTAATTTGAGCAAAAACATTTATTTTTAACACTACAGTTTATAAAACAGGGCGCAAAGTGTCGGCACATGTATGTATGTATGTCGATGGTCCGTCCCAACCGAACCAGGAGACACAGACGTCAGGGAGGCCAAGGTTGTCTCTGCAGCTCTCTGGGCACCACGCCTCACTCAGCTGTCTCCAATGATCCAAATGGCTATGGAGGAAAAATAACAGGTTTGTCATAATTGTTTAAAGTACAAAACCACACATGAAGTGGTGAGACAGGTATGTGGAACTTACACTTGCCGCTTTGTGTAGCTGATGTTGGAGACACACAGGCTGCCATGGTGACATTTAAACAGATCTAACAAAAAAATAAAAATTAAAATTAAAAACTCCCAGACCTCATGTCATATTTACTAATCAGCTATGGCTGATTTATTGTTTGGATCACAGTGAGTTACACTAATTCTAATATATTTTTATTTCTATTATACATACATACTTTTTAACTGTTATTTTCACGACTGTTATCAGGCTCTCTTGTTCTGGTTCTGATGATAATTCCGTGTCTTCCAGTAAGTTATCTTGTGCTTACTTCATCTGTAGAATGTCTCTTTACTTTTGGTAAATTGTACTGAGTCCAGAATAAAGACTAGTTGGCTGTACAAGATACAAACAAGTATAACATTTTGGAAATATATGAAATGTATTTACGCTGCTAATTTAGCTCGAATACTAATAACTGCAATATTTTCCGGACTATAACTCGCACTTTTTTACATATTCTGGCTGGTCCTGCTACTTATACTCCGGAGCGACTTATATAACAAAATATGTAGGCTACACCGCGCTGCTGCGGGCCGACTCCGACCCACACAAGAATGAGTCCCCCTGTCCCGCTGGGAGGGTTTCAAACACCGCCAGCATCTGTTAGAGCCTGTGGCGGGGTGCTGAGGGCCGGCTCCAGCCCAGGAATGAGCTGTCCTCGCCGGCCGGGAGGGTTTGAAACACCGCCATCCTCTCCTCTGCTGGCTGTTGTTCATTCTGTTATGGTTACCGGTGCTTGTGTTGCAATGTGAAACGCTTGGTCTCAGATTTTGTAAGAAAGATAATAAAATGTCCCCCCAAAATACGACTTAAATATATTTTCTCTTATTCATGATACATTTAATGGCTGGTGCGACTCAGGAGTGATAGCGCCGAAAAAAACTACTGAAAACTTGCTCAAAGCAAAATGTATTCATTACGGAAATAAATTATAAACTTACCGATTTAAAACTTTTTTAATCCAGGTACTTCTCACGAACAGGCGCAGAAAACCTCCACCTAAACTCCGTGTAAGGTTCAGGTCGATGGGTGTTCCAGTTAGCTCCGGTTGGGTTGAAGCTAGGTGGCTACATCCGTTAGCTCGGCTCCCACCTCCGCTTTAGCTTTGGGTTAGCCAGGGTTAGCTTCAGGTTAGCTCGTAGCTAGTTCGCCTGGGTGTCGTCACTCGAGCCCAGCCTTACAGCCACACCCTCAGCACCTCCTCTCTTCCCTTTTATGGAATTGTCTGGGCTGGACGGAACCTGTGACACGGTCAAAATGGCGGTGGTGGCCACCTCCCATTATAGACAACAAACGTGTTATTGAAGCCAATGGAATCCGTATGTCCAGTATATGTACAGTCTATGGTCCAAACACTTTAACTCTGGACCAGACTGCTTAGAGGTGAGTTTCTGTTCTGAATTCTTTTTTCTTTTCTGTTCTTTTTTTACATTTTGTCATATAACTTCATCAGGTGTCTGCAAGAAATATATGATATGGCCCACCTCTAGATGAAATAATTTTTTTTACATTAATTATAAATATATAATTTAAAAGTGCCTATGGGACATTTGATACACCTCTAGCTCTCAACTGTGTGTGTGTGTGTGTGTGTGTGTGTGTGTGTGTGTGTGTGTGTGTGTGTGTGTGTGTGTGTCAGCAGACAGCTGTACCAGTGTTTCTAAAGCTCAGGCTGGTAGAGAATAGGCACTAAAGTTAAAGTTTGACAAGAATCAATACATTTTTATGCATTTAATCTACTGATTTTTGTATATAATTTCTCAAGATAGCTTGAAGTGAGTTAACTTGTAAATAATTTACA